TCCCTATGCATGGCAAACAAGCTGTTAAGAGAAAATTCTCACCTAGCTGTTTCTATAACATACCAGCTTTGTGTGTGCCAGGATTTATTTTTATGGGAAGCATTCAAGTGTGCAATTTCTCCTGAAAAGCTACGGTACTAGCCAGAAACAGGTGCAGAGGGAGGTTTCACCCACCTTATCTGCTGTCTGGCTAAAGCATACACTAGGGCTGTTGCCAAAACACACAACACAGCCTGGTTCTTTTCTGTCTCTTCACCTATAAAATGTGTTTAATAATATTTAATTACACACTACTCTGATCTGTCGCAATATTTAATTGGATAATGTTTGTGGAGCACTGAGCTAATAAGATACACCGCATAAATGCTAAGTAGCATTACTGGAAAAGGTCACTGAAGAGAGGAACACAAATGACCTATTAAACATATGTAAATGAACCATAACCGAGTCAAAGAAGATGCTGTCTCTACGCTTCTAAGGACAGGATGTTGCGGGGATTTGTAGATATATTGCATAATGGCAACATTCTCCCTGTCTTCATGCTTTATGGGCAAAAGAAAGAGATGGTTTCAGCATCTGCATTGAAGACGTTTTCTGATGGATGAAAGTCCTGGTATCTGATATCAAATAGACGCTTCTAGAAGCTTTGCGAGAGAAACGTGAATCATAAACGGCATGTGTGCTAGAATTTTCCTCAGGATGATCTTTTCCCCCATTTCCCTTCCTTGCAGGTTATTGTCTAGCCCTGTACAAGTGCGTGTCTGAATAAAGACAAACGAAAATGTAGGGGACTGGGGTATAATGGAAACACCAACCATACTTGGGCATGCTTGTTGAACTGTTGACTTTAGTATACAAAGCACAGGAATCTGGTGTTCAACATGTGAAGATCTGTGGAGGGCTAGTGTGTCTGGAGACATTGGGGTGGGAATTGTCTAGGTGCTAATACACAATACGAAACCCACTTGTGCTTAGAAAGATGCTTCTGTCTCTCCCGAAGCCCTAGGGATACAAAGAACTTTTGATGCAGTTCTCTCACCTTTGAGAGAACTGGATCAAAAAACCCTACAGAGAAGGAGACTTCATGAGATTGTCTCACACATTATGCAACACTGTAAGCCCAATTAAGACCCAGGAAAGACTGAATTTTTTTATTATATATGTGCACAGAAACATAATTTACAAGGATTTGCAAGGAGCTCTGAACAACTAAGCCAGTGTCCAGTTAGAATAGACCTATTGAATCAATTTGCTGATAAGTCAACAGTTACATAAATCTTATACAGTCAACAGGTCTAGTGTAGTTGGAACTAACTGGCTGTAAAATATGAAGTGGTTACTATAAGGATCCAGATGGCCCTGTATTTTTTGAAATACAATCTGTACTGTTTGAACAGCCTGTCAAATTGTAAATCAACTGACAGTAAACTAATAGGCATTCCTGGCCATTGAGATACAGGAAATGAAGGCTGTCGATCACAGCTCTGTCCTGCCTTGCTGATCTTGGTCGCTGTTGAGAAATTTGATTATACGAAAGCCTGAAGGAATGGAAAGCATGTTGTATCCAAGAGTCAACTGAGGAGGAGCGTATTTTCCTCCCATTGCAGCAGGATTGTTAACAATCTACAATTTGTAATGGTTTTGACAAAGCATGGACACCCCTGACCTGGGGCTAGTAATGGAAGGTGAAACACCAGAGAAGTGGGGAAAATCCTCTTTCTGCTATCTAGACAGAAATATAGCGTGTGAGGGAAATTGTTCTGGTTTAATTTTTTTAACCTCTCAAGAGTTGTGTTCCCTCAGAATGGGCTGTCAAAGGCCATATGCTGGTGATGGGGGGGAAGAGAGGGAGAGAGACCAAAGGAAGAATGGGTGAAACTAGAGGCAAAAATAGGTAGAACTCTCTCTTGACCCTTCCCCCTGCATCTCTTTGTGTGTTTGTGTGTGTGTGTGTGCCTGCACCACTCTCTTCGTTCTTCAGCTGTTAGAAGAGGGAGAGATTGATCCTGCTAGAGGTTTGAACAAATCCCTTATAGACTTTTTGGAACTAAAATGAGAGCCACATGAAGTAAGTCTAACTGCCCAATGTTGTCCAGAGAATCCTGCAGATTGTAATCTAAAAAGGTAACTTTTTTCAATTCCATGTGCTTTGAGCCAACAGTTGCTCATCCCCAAAATGTATCTTTGCTCTCAGCCTCGCTGCTACTGCTGTTTGTGAAGGGGGTGTTTGTTTATTTCCTTGCTTTAAAAAAACACCACTGTGTATACTTGTCATGTCATATTGCTTGTTCCTTATAGGCATCCTTCAGTCTCAAAAGACTATGGTAACATGCTCTGAATCGAGGAGTGTCCTCTCCAGAGCATGAAGCCTGGGTAAAGTAATATGGAGGATAGGCTGTTACCCAAGCAGCAGATCCCCCCTCTCCACGTTGCTGAAATGGTCCAATGGAAAGGCAAGAGCCAATACAACTGGTTCCAGCAACGTCGCGGGAGTTGGCAGAATGACTCGAACTGCCTTCGGGACTCCAGGTCCGGATTTTGCCTCTAGGTTAACTCCTGAAGCCTTTTCTATGAGTGGATATAGCCACAGGGCAGTGGAGATTTGAAATCAGAGTTTTCCTTCTCCTAGATAGGCTGCTTTCCATGGCTGATGAGCCCCACCTACCCGGCCTGCTCTTTAATAGTGGAGAAGTATGATCCAACCCTTAAAACTTTCCTGCCTCCCAGGTGTATGCAAATCTAATTGGCTTTCCTATTTACCATATGAAGAATCCCTTTGTATTTTGTATTTCTTTAAAAATATATACAAATTGTATTTAAATTTAAATCTGCATTTATTTATTTGTTTTGGGTATTTTAGCTGGTGGAAATAGATTTGTGCCACTTGATTTTGCTACTGCATTTTTAGATTTTAGGCCACTGTACTGAATATCCCATTTTTATGTATGCTACTCTGATTTTTTTCATGTTTCATTTGGGATGAAGTCAGGGCATATAATTATTTTTTAAATGGAAGAAATAAAGGACATACTACAAAACATACTATGAAAACACATATAACCAAGAAACGAAAAGGTCAAACCTATCAAAAAATCAGGCATAGACTCTCAGACATAGCAGGAAGAGTCGAAGTATGCATTGCAGATAGCATTGCCATTAAGAGCTGAAATCATGTTAGTGTTAAAAAGTCAATTTCAGCAGGCCTTTGTTTCTGAGAAATCGTATTTCCAACTAAAGCCCATGTTTATCTCCTAATAACCAGTCACAAGACAACCTTATTTGGAAACTGAGAAGATACGAAAAGCTTCCGCTGTGACTGACAATCAGGTGTCATTCAACACCTAAGGATTGGCTTGTTCCAGAGATTGGCATAATGGCAGATCTTCTCACAGGAAATCTCTTTAGGATTATCACCTCAAATCTACTGCCCCTTAACAGTCACTTTTGATATATCATGGTTGGGATCCAGTTTTCTAGAGCCCTTTTGGTTTCCTTATACTTTTTCAGACATACCTGTTGACATTGTTAGGTACCATTATTTTTTCCATGTATAAAATGACACTTTTTCCTAAAATAACTGAAGGGAAAATTAAGGGTTCTTTTTATACTCAGAAGTAGGAGGGAGGGATCAAAGTGCTTTGATCCCTGTTTCCCCCTCCACATTTTGCAAAGAAAATGCAGGGGGAAGCGATTTCTGCTTCCCCCCTACATTTTCATTGCAAAATGTGGAGGGGAGAAGCTGCTTTTTGCTATGCAAAGAAAGAAATGTTGATTTAGAAAAGGGGGTGTTTTATACATGGGGTATCTTATACACTGAAAAATATGGTATTTACTGGCAAAGTATAGCAGCTTAGTGCTGAATTTGTGACTGCTGAGTAAGAATAATCATCACTCTGGGGATTGGTGTTAGGCAAAAGGAAAACAAAGTTACTGCTTATTGTGTAAGTGGAAATCCATTTAGGATAGCACAGGAGATGAGATTTCTAAAAACCGCCCAGAGTAGTACCTTGACACTAATGGGAGCGGGATACAAATTGAATAAATAAATGAAATAAATAAATAAAATGTGTTACTGAATTCCTGAGAGATTACTTCCACACTTGCAAGTCTGTCACTCTGAATAAAAGTGAAGGAGCAAGAGAAGCAGAAATTGTCTTCAGAGAAGAAGAAAACCTAAGACTATCAATCTGCATATAGATCTAGAAAAGATAAGAAGGTGACAAAGAGTATTTGTCTGCCTAATACCATCTCAGTGCCGATTACTTGCTACATATTTTTAGTACTCTTCTCCAGCAATATCAACCGTGGAAGTTTATGTTGTTTATTTAGTCAATTTGTTGAAAGCAGTAGAAAATGAAGACTGTATTGAAGCCAATAGGAAAAGAGGAAGAACTGATGTCAGACTGATGGACTCAGCAAAGAAAGCTATGAGCGTCTGCAAGAACTGACAGGCGTGTTAGTGATAGGACATTTTGGAAATCATTAATTCATAGGGTATCCAAAAGTTGAAAGTGACTAGTAGCACATAATTACAGCATTCCATTCATACCCTGCTGTTCTGCATGTGCCAAAACAGGTGGTTAACAACAGTGGTCGTAATAAACGTACAACACTGCATGCCCTCTTAGAAGTGTTTTTCAGTATGCACTTGCATTTGTTCTGAGCACAAATTATGTAGAAAAAAATAGCTCCCATCAGTAAACTGTCTTGTGCATAGGAAGGGATAGATTTATGCTGGATATATGTGCACTCCCCTGGAACAGTGTAACAATAGATCTAAATATATTTATGCATGTTCTAATTTACCTTTTAGAAGTCTCTTATTTTAGCATGTTTCTGACTGACCTCTTTAAAATGCAAGCAAAAAAAAAGGGGGGGGGACAAAAAAACTTTCTTATCCTGTGCATATTTTGGTTTAATAGGGTTTAATGAACCCAATAATTCACTGCGTCTGTACAATATAAGATTAATTTCTCATCTGTCTCAATTGCCTTGCAGGTCTGAATATCTCCCGACGATGTTTCTCCTTGGATTCTTGTCTCTCCTTGTTTTGCAAACCAAAGCTTTCAGCACCAGCTTTCCCGATGAAACCATTGCAGAGTTTTCCGTGAATGTTTATAATCAGCTGAGAGCTACAGGGGAAGATGAAAACATTATCTTCTCCCCACTGGGAATAGCGATCGCCATGGGGATGGTGGAACTCGGAGCCCATGGTTCCACTCTCAAGGAAATAAGACACGCCATGGGATATGAAGCTTTGAAAAACGGTAATCTGCATTTAAATCAGACACTATTTCTTGGATTAAATTTTATCCACCTCCTCCCACAGATAAATTGAGATTGATGTCTTAGAGACACAGCAGTTGCATGCCTCTCCTTAAAGTACCAGGGGTGCAATTTTTTTTGAGGTTCTCTGCATGATGGGTATTTAGCTCAGAGATGCTAAAAAAATTGGTCCCTCCAAAATGAAGAGCTTTCTGTGCCAGAAGGACAGCTGTCATGCCAGTAGTACTTTCACAGCTTTATTTATTTGTTTGTTTGTTTGTTTATTGCATTTATACCCCACCTATCTAGTCGAACAACCACTCTAGGCGGCTTCCAACATATATAACAACTTATAGAAAATAACAAAAATTTTAAACATCAATAGACAAGTGATTCAAGATGGAAAAAGAGAGAAAAAAGAAAAAATATAAGAAGAAAAAGAAATCAAGTATTTCCAGTTTATAGGTCAGAAGGATACTTAGAACCTGCAGGTATGGGGCTCTACGTAAAGCAAAGCAGAGATTAGAAAAGTCATTTCTTTGGACCTGAGCTATTAGGATCCGTTAGGCAGCATGGCCACTCTCTCAAAGTTGATAGCATTTGCAAGCTGTGCTCCTAAGGCATTGACAAGATGTGCTTTTTATAAACTTGGCCCATAGCCCTCTAACTGTTGGATAGCTCAGTGGTTTCTGGCTGTGGAGCCAGAGATTGGGGGTTCAGCTATCATCATCCTTTTAGAACTGCGGAGCTCCTCACTGTGCCTCCTTGACGAGGGCTAGATTTGATGATTTATAGGGTTCGTTCCAGCTCTGTAGGTCTAAAATTATGATCATCATCATCATCTTTGAACTACAGAGCTGGAAGGAACCCTAGGAATCATCACGTCCAGCCTCTGTCCAGGAAGCACAGTGGGGGAATTGAACTCCCAACCTCTGGCTCCACAGCCAGAGACCTAAACCACTGAGCTATCCAGCAGATCTTATGGTGATGGTTTGCTTTTTTCTCAGCCTCCCCTGACTCAGCTATTTTAACTGTACAAAAATTTAATTAGGGACATGCATGCTGGTGAAAGATGTTTTCAAACCCCACCCTGTCTAGTAAATGTGCCATTTTCTGAGAGGCCCTTGGGCCCAAACCCCTTAAACCCATCCCAACTGAAAGCACCTCAGAAGCTTTTGTCAAACGTTGTGGACTCATTTCAAGGGGAAAAGCCATTTTTAAAAATAATCATTATTCCTCTTTGGGAGAAGCCATAATGGCCTGTCATAATTTTTAGATGCAACAGCATTAACAGCATGCCAAGATGATTTATTTATTTTTCTATGCAAGTGGCATGCTTTCATCGTGTGTAAACATCATTAGTGTAGCTTTTTGGGAAATCTTTGAAGGAGTTCAAGGAAATCTATAGAAGAATCCAGCAAATTTTAAACAGCTGGTATAACTGTGTAAATATTTAGCCAAACTGGTGGGAAACCTCCCCCTTAAAGCTGGAAGCATATGGGCAAATAACAGCAGTTTATTAAAACAGTTGATTGTCAACTGAACCATCTTGGAAAGCAGTGCCTTGCTTGTCCATCAACGGGGAAAACCAAAAGAAAGCAAGGATGATATATGAACAGAGAACCCAAAGTGACAGGGTGAGGGTTGAATTGAAAGTGCAGAAGTATAACATAAGAAAGTCTTCACAGGGAGCAGGAATTGAGTCGGTTCAAATGTTATAGTTGTTGTGGGTTTTTCGGGCTCTTTGGCCGTGTTCTGAAGGTTGTTCTTCCTGACGTTTCTCCAGTCCCAGAGTACAGAGTGCTGTCCTCTGAAGATGCCGGCCACAGAGACTGGTGAAACGTTAGGAAGAACAACCTTCAGAACACGGCCAAAGAGCCCGAAAAAACCCACAACAACCATTAGATCCCGGCCATGAAAGCCTTCGCGAATACATCAAATTTTATAACTTGTGCTAATAAAGAATAGTTAATTAAGGATTTAGAAATCACTTGCATGGATAAACAAACCAATATAGTACGCAGTAGAAACCCTTTAGATGAGCAAACTGATTTTTTTTCCTTCTGGTAAATCATGTCCTTTTCTTATATTTTGTAATTAGGATTTCGATATACTGTAAATAGGTTCTTTTTTGTGATTATAGATGATTGAGAGTTATAAAAGAAAATAATTATAAGACAAAATGGAAAGACATAAGAAATCCTAAGAGTCATTTCTATCTGTCTCTCAGTAGATATTTGGTCTAAATATTTGTGCACAAGCATTTGCAACAATGACTCAGTATGTACTTGAATAAAGAGCACGTGGATTGGAACTGATTCACCCTGGTGACGACCCTCTAACCCAATCTTTGTTCAAGTCAATGAGGTTATTTGTATATTTCTGGGTTTCTCTGGTGGAAAAGAAATGTTCCTGTGGGTGAGGAAAATGCAGATGGTTGTGACCTTGAGACACAGCTACACAATGCTATTGATTTCAGTGATGTGGCATTTCTTCCCATAGGCAGCCTTCTGATGGGGAGGAGAGACAGATACTAGGAGACTGATCCTAGTAATCAAAGTGCATTACCAATCCTGATAATAAATGGCTTAGTAATTTAACTAAGCTAGATGAGAAAGAAAAAAGAAAATCCTAGCTAGCTATGAGAAAGTAAACCTTTTACTTCAAGGTATGCTGCTTATATAGAACCCCAGTGCACTTAAAGCACTCTGGGTACTCATTTTACCGACCTTGGAAGGATGAGTCAATCTCGAGCTGACTCCCCAAGCCCATTGGGACGGACAGACAGACACAGAGAGAGAGAGAGAGAGAGAGAGAGAGAGAGAGAGAAT